TGGGTGGGTGGATGGATGGTTGATGATTCCAAATCTAGCTTTCTAACCCAGATCTCTCTCCAGAGCAAAGATCTATATATCCAACCGCCAATCCTAACAGCTCTAACAGGATGTCCTAAAGGCACCTTAAATTCAACAGGTCCACAAAACAGAACTCATTAACTTTTACCCCAAATGTAGTCTTTTCTCTAGATTTCACATTACCCACCACACTTCACCATCCAATCAGCGAACTGATGACCAAATCCCATCAATTCAATTTCTTTACCATGTCTTATGTCTGCCTTTGACTCTCCATCTCCACTGTCACTGTCACTAATACTTTAGGTCCTCATCTCTTATCTAGCTTATTGTAGTAAGCCTTTTTCCTGCGTTTATTTAATATTGCCACCAATCCACCTTCCACACTACTTTTCAGAGTTATTTCCCCGCCTGCACCGATCTGCTCTTAATACAAATCCAATTGTATTGGTTGGTTTGGTTGTGTTGGTTCCATGCTCCCTGAGGGCTCAAAGATGAAGTCTAACTCCTAAGAGGAGTATATAATCATCTGGTCCCCATTAACCTCTTCAGTCTCATCTCTCGCTCAGTCCATACTAAGTTCTATCTCTACCGCTACGGAGAAACTTGTGCTAAATTAGAACATTTCCCTCCTCCTGCCCACCCTCAGTTCCCTGTATAGACTTCTTTTATTCTAGCAGTATTTGTGGATGTGCATGCATATATGTGTGTATGTTTCCCTCTACTGGACAATAAGCCCCTGGACTGTATCCCTGACACAGTGTCTAACACCAGTAAGTTCCTACCCGGTAACTGTTTGGTCGATGAATTATTTCTGAATCTCTTTCCCTTAGTTGCTTATATCATGCTTGTGTTGAATTCAGTTCTCCACATACTTCTTTATTCAAAAATTATATTAAGGAGGGACGCCTGGGTGGCTCAGTGGGTTAAGCATCTGCCTTTGGCTCGGGTCATAATCCCAGAGTCCTGGGATCAAGTCCGGCATCATTGGGCTCCCTGAACAGCGGGGAGCCTATCTCTCCCTCTTCCTCTGCCCCTCCCCCCACTCGTGTTTTCTCTTGCTTGTTCTGCTCTTTCCTCTCTCAAATAAATAAATAATCTTTTAAGAAAATTATATTGGGGTGCCTGGGTGGCTCAGTCAGTTAAGTGTCTGACTTAGGCTCGGGTCATGATCTCAGGGACCAGGGATCGAGCCCCATGTCGGGCTCCCTGCTCAGCAGGGAGTCTGCTTCTCCCTCTCCCTCTGCCCCTCTGCTCGTGCTCTCTCTCTCCCAAATAAATAAATAAGATCTTTAAAAAAATTTAAAAATAATAAAAAAATTATATTAAGGAGTGGCAATTAAAAAACAACCTCCAAATCCACCCAAGTTCTACATCGAGTAAATGCAATAAGCTACCATACAAATAATGATGACAAAAAAGTTTTCCAGGCTCAGCTATTCCACTACACAGATCAGTTAATTGAATTTCTTTGTCTTGTTGGAGTTTCATACCAGAGCAGAGGCCTCGACTGTAGCTTTCCGTAATTGTAACTCCATCCTGGTTTATGATGCTTTTTATTACGTTTAAAAGCTATCAGAAACAGACCAGAAATAAATTTTGGCTGTTTCAGTCAGATTTATTCCTAAAAGCCTGGTCTGAGGTCTGTGTTGAGATGAGGTAAGCAGCCTGAACATTTAGAGCCCGCAGACACAATTAGCATTGGAAGGCAGAATTCATTCGTCCGAACTCGTATTGAGTGCCTACCATTTGCAGGCTATGATACAAGACCCTGGGGTTAGACAACCTGGTCTCCGCTTTCCACGGGCTTATACGGGAGCACGCAGATTAACTTCTATATCCTCGGCATGAGAGTACTTTCAAAAAGAAGCAAACTAGAAGAAAAACTGTTGAGGTTGGTAATCTGAAAATGATACTTTTCATAGGAGCCTGCCGAAAGGGGGAAGGAATGGCGATGTGAAATAAAAAGCATGTTCGGACTTCACGGGGTTCTTGGTTGGGCCATCTTCGTGTATTTTGCTGTTCTGCACCCGTACTTAACAGCTTCGTGACCTGAGGTTCGTGGATGTCATTCCAGGGGCCCGCATTGCCCTCTTACCTGCCTGCCACGGAGGGAGCCCACTCGCAGCTATAAAGCTGTCCTCCTTACCTTACTGATGAAAGCTCGTAGTGAGGCAAAAACATGTTTCAGCGACACTTCAGACTGTCCATTTTTAAGGAAAGCCAGATGAATATCAAATACTTTTTTCATTAATGGGTTGTGGCCGTCGTTATTTAAAAGTTGACTCTACAAAACATGAAAAAAAATACATTTTGGGACACCTGGGTGGCTCAGTTGGGGAAGCATCTGCCTTCGGCTTAGGTCATAAGCTCAGGGTTGTAAGATCCAGCCCCAAGTGGGCTCCATGCTGGGCGTGGGTTCTGCTTAAGACTCTCTTTTTCTCTCCCTCTGTCCCTCCCCTGCCCACTCTCTCAAAAAAAAAGTAAACCTGGAGGGCTGAAGCATTACATAGAAAAGAGGGAAGAAAATAATAGATTGTAACTCAGGGGAAAGCAAGCAAGATTTTTCACTTTTGAGCTCTCCCGCTAATGTTACATTATGTGAGTTACATAATTTTTACTCTTCAAAGCACTCTCCTATTATCTCATTTTACTCCCGACAACCCTGCAAGATCATGGCTTTTACCTTCTTCTTTTTAAAATCCTAGCAATGCCGATTTGTGTTGAGAGGCAAACATCTGAGAAAAAGCACTGAACAGGCGCCTGGCCAGGGAAGCCAGCCAGCCTGCCTGGGCATCGTCAAGCCTGACAAAATACCTCATCACCAAGGGTATTTGGGCACACCGGTTCAATCTTAATTCGAGCTAAAAATTACTGGCTAGATTAATAAAAGTGTGACAGAAAATGGGTTTTAAACACACACACAAAAATCAAACAGCAGAAGTTCAGAGATAGAAGGAAGCTTAAGAGCAAATGAGTCCAAGCCCCTCCCTTTATGGATGTGGCAAGGGAGTCTCCGCGAATTCCCAAGGTCACACGGTAGCCAAATGAGGTCTGTTATCCAAGTTTCTGGACTGTTCATTTGGGGCTTTTTCACCGCATTACGCTTCCTCTGACTAATTAATTTGTGTATAATGTTTTCTTTATGACACCAACTGGATTCTGACTTCTCATCTTTACCTTGAAGCACTGGGTGAAAAAGGAGATGGTATCCAGCACCGTTAAGCAAACTTCAGTAGCAGTGTTGCCTTCAAGAAGTGCCTGATGGAAAATGTCTGCTTCGCTGGTTGCAGAGCCTAAGATTAAAGAAAAAAAAAAAAAAAAAGGTAAATTAAAACTGCCCAACGCAGAGAATCATGTGACAGTTTGGAATGATTCCCGCCCCCCCCCGCCCCAAAGACTCAGAGAGAGATGGGCAAGAAGGAGGCTCTCAATATCCGCGGACCTAATGAGCTTCACTGTATTTATTCCTTAATCAAATATGAGTCTGGTTAATCAATTCCACTCATTCTTACTTCAGCTCTGTATCAACAGCTCTGCAACACATAATTAGGTGTCTCCGCTTCTTTGGAGACAAGATTTCAGGGATGAACTCGGGCGATGTAACTAGGGGATAATGATGGTGATGTAACTAGGAACAGAGGAAACTAGGTGTGCAAAAATGAGAAATCGTAGACAGTAGGCGACATCACATATGGTGTTGCCCTATGGCCAGATGTTTCTAATTATGCCAATGTTACGGGACTTGTTTCTACATCAGAAGAAAAACCAAACATCTGGGCCAACCAAAGGAAGTAGGACCATTACATTTTTACAAGTGACAAGAGCAAAGCCGAAGGCTGTAAAACTTGCATTTTTTTTTTTTTTAAAGATTTTATTTATTTATTTGACAGAGAAAGACACAGCGAGAGAGGGAACACAAACGGGGAGTGGGAGAGGGAGAAGCAG